TGTTGAAGGGTTGGTGTGCAAACCCTGAAGTTATAGTCTCTAGTTCGGAATGAATAACAAAACACTTTGGCGATCTCAATTCAGGTACTGCCTTGGATCTGTGAGAAGATGTGAGGATTTTCCTATACTAAAAAAATAAAATAAAAGAAGTTTTGTATACCAATATGGTACCAAGTGGCACGACCTTTCCACCAATTACAAATATATATGCCTTTAGTGTTCCCTAAACACCCAATAATATGACTCATATTCCACCACCTTTCATCAATCATAATTATAAAAAGTACCATATGAATATATCCTATCAACATTCAAAAATCACTCAATTGTTGAGTGAACGTATAAACCAATATATCTAAGTTTTTTTTTTTTGATCGGCAAAAGAAAAGCTTTATTGATGAAAAACATAACAAGTATGATAAGATACATCAATAAAGGGGAGGGTGCAAAAAGCATCACAGTGAAACATTTGGATCCCAACTAGGTTGGCACCAAAACGCACACCCAATCATCTGCTAGCACACACTCGAGGCTCCAAGATGGTGAGAAACCAACAAACAGAGCAGAACAAAACAAGACAAAAACAAAAAGACAACAACCAAACACTAGCAGTCCATCCCCAGCCACTGTCATCTCAGCAACCCTGCTCACCGTAACATATCAGAAACCTTCCACAATTAGCGGGCTAGCAGCCCAAATCTAACCCAGATTTCAACACAAAGCAGCTCAGAACAGTTAAGAACATCCTCTGATTTGACGCCAATTGAAAATTAAATCATCAACGGAATAAGGAAGATCTTTAATAGATGCTTTCAGCCAAAGTACTGCTCTAATTTTGATATTTTCACTCAAGCCAGAGAGACTAGGTTGAACCTCTGCAAAGACACAATCATTCCTAAGTTTCCAAAGCGACCAAAGAACAATAAGGGGTGATGTAGCAGATGTAGCTGGGTCTGCTGGAGCTGAACACTTATCACTAAGTTGAGTGACAAACTATCTCAATTGTTAAGTTTTGAGTTCCACTTCTCATAGATAATGTTGTGATTATTGGATTGGTTGTACATTTATGATTGTTTGTTGTTAATCTTTTTTATTTTTTATATAATTAAATGTTTAGTATGAATTAATTTTTATGATACTTTCAAATTATTCCCAATGATTGAAAAATAAAATAAAAAACCAACTAAAAGCATGTCCATTTTCTTGTCTGATTTGTATTTATCTTAGCACCTATTATCATAGAACATTCTGAACAAAACACTTTTCATACTTTGTAATTAAAAAAAATTAATTGTTAAAAAAATTAATTAAAATGATACTACTAAAAGAAAGAAAAAAAAAATTGTTCCCTTTGATCAAAACTCCCTCAATTTATTTAATATTGGAAAAAGGACACTCTAATATATTTTTTTTAATTGTTAAAGTCCCTCAATTTCAAACTTTAATAGATAAAGTCCATCTTCTACGTATTTATAATTTGTTTAGACTTGACTACCCGTATATGGTTAGAGCTTGTGGTTGTGGTGTTTGCTGTTGATAGTTGAAGAGGTGTGATGTTGACTCGAGGACGGAGCGATGTCATGGTGATATTTTTCAAAATGAAAGTGTGGGAGCTTAGAGCGCATCTCCAATTTTTCCTACTTTTTTTTTTTTCCTAATTTTTTTTTATCACATATTTTTCAAAAATTCTAAAATTAATATATGAACTGCAATTGAGCTTCCGATTATCATTATTAATTGGCTTTTTTTGAAGGTTTCGATGAAGATTGAATAATTGTCAAAAAAATTTACAGATGGTGTAGAATTTCGATTAGTTGTTAGTTTTTTTTTTTTTTTAGATTTGTTTTTCTTGTATGTTATTTGTAATGGTGTTTGTTTATTAGTTTGTAAATATAAAAGTAAAATTTTATTATCTCCAATTGTTGTTGTTACTCTTTTAATATGTACTTTTTTTTTGCTAATGCATTGTTTAAGAATGATAGTAAAATTTTACTTTGATAGTATATTCTTGAGTTATTTCTTATGTTATACAAATTTTACTGTGAAACAGAGTAATATTTTATTGTGAATCAGAATAAAATGTCACTGTGAAATAAAGTAAAATGTTTCTATGAAAAATGTTACTGTTTACATCAATTTCAACAGTAAAATTTTTTATGTTTATTTTTTAAAAAAATTCATAACCAATCTGGATCTTGGTTGATAGATTTTGATGAGAGGATTCTAAAAATACTAATTTATTAAAAATTGACATCTAAATTAAAAGTTATATAATTTTAAAGTTTAAAATATTAAATTAGTCACTAGGATATTTTGATAATAATAATATATGCTGGACTTGTGAAGGAGATTTTTTTATACTTGTCGTTAATATATTAAAGTTATATCATTAGGGAGTTCTGCCCAAATTCCTTAAGAGTAAATAATGGTCTAATTATTTATTTATTTTTTTAATGTTTGGGTGATAAATTAGAAATCCAGAAATTAGACATGATCTGAAATGATCAACACTAAGGCTGCGTGCGAAAAAAGATATGTCTGGCCAAATCTGAAAACAAACAAATATCCTAATGAATTATAAACTAATATTATAATGAATCATAATGAAAATAAATTGGCAAGAGCTTTTTTTGGTTATTTTAGTCATAAAAGACAAAATAAGTTATTTTAGCTATAACAAACAAAATATCACATCCAACCCATAATCATTACACTCTTTTCTCATAAAAAAAGTCAAAAAGTCATTCCCAAACTAAGCTTTTTAGTCCAAGTTAAAAAAGTCAAAAAAGCCAAAAAGCCAACCTATTTTCCCAACGGAGGCTTTCTGACTTTATTAATAAAAAAATGTCTAAGACCCCCCTTTCCCCCCCTTTGACCCCCCTTTCTCTCATTGGTTAGATTTGAATTTTTTTTTTTTCTTGTCCTCCAAACACCACCAGCACATGTGTGTGGGGGTAGTGGGGTGGTAATTGGTGGGATCTCCATCACGTGGTCTTTATTAGCAAAAATTTCAGGACTCTTCAAGAAAATGTCAACAACAAACCTAACCTAGATGACATAAAACCCATTTCAATTTCAGTCAGGTTGTTTTATGATTAATTTTTACAATAAATTAGAAAATAAGTTTTTAATTGATGGATAAAGTGTGACATAAGTAGGTAAAAAATTTGAAAATATAAATGACAATACATAAATATATACACTAGTACTAAATTATTGTCTAAACAATTATATCAACTAATTAATAAAGTTATTTTATAAAATACAAAAACAAAATATCACATCCAACCCATAATCATTACACTATTCTCTCATAAAAAAAGTCAAAAAGTCAAAAAGCCCAAACTAAAATAGTCAAAAAAGTCAAACTAAGCTTTTTAATCCAAGCTAAAATAGCCAAAAAAATCAAAAAACCAACCCATTTCCCCAACGGAGGCTTTCTGACTTTATTAATACAAAAATGTCTAAGATTCCCTTTTTTTCTCACCCCCTTTGATCCCTTCTCTCTCTCTCATTGGTTAGTTTTTTTTTTTTTTCCCGTCACCAGCTGCCACATTTTTTTTTTTTTTAGTCCTCCAATCACCACCTGCACATGTGTGTAGGGTAGTGGGGTGGTAATTGGAGGGATCTCCGTCACGTGGTCTTTAATAGCAAAAATTTCAGGACTCTTCAAGAAAATGTCAGCAACAAACCTAACCTAGATGACATAAAACCCATTTCAATTTCAGTCAGGTTGTTTTATGATTAATTTTTACAATAAATTAGAAAATAAGTTTTTAATTGATGGATAAAGTGTGACATAAGTAGGTAAAAAATTTAAAAATATAAATGACAATACATAAATATATACACTAGTACTAAATTATTGTCTAAACAATTATATCAACTAATTAATAAAGTTATTTTATAAAATACATTTTAGACGATTTAGATACTTGCATGAGAGGTTTATTAAGAAATCTTTTTTTAAGTACTTGTATTTCAATTAGTTCATAACATATTTTATATTAAATAAGTCTTATTTTTTGAACATTTGATCTACCAAATTCAAATTTTCATATTTAATTATGTTATGGACAATTTTAGCTTTATAAATATTAAATGCTTAGCAATTTGGTGATATGAACATTCATATTTTATAGTGTGCATATTCACATCATAGAATATTCATACCGTTAATGTAAATATTACTATTAAAAGTATTTTAATAATTATGTTACCCATAAAATTTGGTGAAACATAAAAAAATAATTTAAACCAACTAACACATAAATAGACAAAAAGAGATTTATATAAGTGCCCATTCTTTGGTTATAGTGGAGAATCCAATCAAAAATATGTGGGGCTATATTTTTGTATTTTTTTTGGGTGAAAAGAAAATCTCAACCCTTCTCTTTTCCTTCTTTTCCTTATTTTATTTTCTGTAAGTTTATGGTACCAGAAAATTTCCTAAAATTTGCACGGAATGTTAGATGAATGATGTATATTTGAAGTCAACAATTGATCCGAAATTTTATGGTTTAAATGTCTCAAAACGACGTCGTTTTAGAGGGTAAAACGATGTCGTTTTGATACATTCAAACTATTCAGGCCACACAAATTCGAGCTACCAAATATTTTTTTTTCTTTTTTTTTTATGGTGACTTATTAAGTAGATTTTGTAAAGGTAATTCAATCATTAAGTCACTTAATTCATCGCATATGACTGCTAATTTTTTTTTTTATTTTAAAATTCCTTATTATTGAACGTCTTAATTTTTGAAAGATCTAATAAGTTAAGACATCATTTTGATTTTTAGTCTTTTGCGAGTAGATAATTGAAAATTAGAAGGTTAAGATTGTGTTGATTAAACAACCATCAAAATAACTATCTAAAAAAAAACAACAATCAAAATACTGAAAGAAAAACAACAAAAATTTCATAAATTTTTTATTTTTAGCTTAAGGCCCCACAAATTTTTTCACTGACACACATGGATTAAACAATTAAGACACTGAAAGAAAAACAACAATCAAAATTTACATTATATTCAGATACTCGTGCACACTCTCTTCTGTGCATTTATTCAACTTCAAATTATTTCATACAACCTAGTATATTATATACTAGCATTGATTGCATACATCAAAACATCAAAAAGCCTATACTTTTAGAAATAAAAAGGGAAACTGAACGCAGTAAAATTCAACAACATTTATAGGCTATTTATTTTAAACACCCCAAAACAACACTAGTAAAATTTGACTGCTTCAAGACCATCTTTTGGTAACTTTAACCTTCAAGCCATGCTTCATATAGAGAATGACGGAAACATTAGGGGCCACAGTGTGTCCTTTCACCATTTGAACTTGGTAGTTGTGTATCATACTCGCAGCAACCAATTTCAATTGAGTAAAAGCAACTTCTCTTCCCAAACAAGTCCTCGGTCCTGCATTGAACGCCAAGAACTTGTAAGATGGCTCATGTTTGATCGTTCCTTGCTCGGATAACCATCTCTCTGGCTTAAACTCCGTGCAATCCTCTCCCCATATGAATTTCATCCTTCCCATTGCGTATAGAGAGAACAATATTTTCATATTCGGATCAACACGATGCCCACTTGGAAGTGTGTCTGGCTTATGAGGCTCTTTGTGTTGGAATGGAACTGGTGGATATAGCCTTAATGATTCGCATAGTGCACCGTGTAGATAAACTAGCTTGCTTATCTCTTCTACGCCGAATAATCTCCATTTGTTAGTTTCTTCTGTTGGTATAGTCGATTTGAGTTCTTCTCTGATCTTTTCTTCCACGTCTGGGTGAGTTGAAACGAGCCAAAGAAACCACGTGAGAGCTGAGCTGGTCGTGTCTCTCCCCGCGATCATGAAATTTAAAATGGTGTCTCTCAAGAACTTATCATCGCTTTCTATCTCTTCTTCATTCAAATACGATGTTAATAGATCAACACCGTCTTCTTCTTTGTCATTTGATTTGATTCCTCTCCTAAGTTCGTCTCTCTTCATGGAAATATATTTGCCTATGACATGATCTAGGGTTGCACGAGCGTTTCTCAATTTCTTTTCGTGTCCAATCCCTAGCCACCTCTGGAGCTTCCAAACGCTCTCGGGGATTATGTGGCGACTAAAGATAGCTTCCTCGGCATCATCCATGGCCTTGGAGAAGGGAACATGAGGGAGGTCGATGGAGAGGCAACCAGGGTCATACCCGGTGACGAGTATGCAAGTGGTGTCAAATGTTAGCCTTTGGAACAAGTCTTGCAAGTCCACCACTTGGCCTTGTTTGGAAACATGATCAAGAACTTTGATGAGGCCTTTCTCCACCTTATCTTGGGTTGTCTTGGCCAAATACCGGTGGAACCGGTGGTTATTGACCATCAACCGAGCGAGTTTCCTCTGGCTGCGCCACGATTCTGAGTCAGAATTGAAAATCCCATCTCCCAAAATGTCGAAAATCTTGAGGAACTGAGGGCCTTTTGGAAAATTCAAGAAGTTGGCACTCATGATGTAGTGGATGTTGGCTGGATCAACAGTGCTCAACATGTCCGTGTTAGTGAACCATAGGCCTCGGAGTAGGAAAGTACCCCCGGTCTGGCTGAGGATCTCGGTGGAACGATCGTGAACCCGGTGGACGTGGCAAAGAAGACTCGGAAGCGTTCCGAGGAGAGGCCAGTTCCGTGGAAGCCGATCAGTGGTGGCAAAGAAAGCAAGGAAGAGAAAGCATGCCAGTGCTAAGAGGACTTCGTAGTAACCTAGTGAGGCCATTTGGGTTTTTGTTTAAGATAAGCAAAATGTGTAGAGGAAGCTTTGATTTAGTAGCTTTTTTATGGAAGGTTGAATATCTTCAGTGGATGTATTTATAGAAGCCAAAATGCTATGTGCATTTATTTATTTATTTTTTGGAGGGTATGGTGAATTAATTGAATCATCTACGCGAAGCGGTGTGGCGGATAAGAAATCGTTGTGGTGGCAGAGTATCCTGTAAATATATATATATTTTTTTGATGTTTCAACCAATTGCAGAGTAGAAAATTTTAGGAGTAATTATTAAAAAAAAAATTGTAACAAAATAAATTCTGAATTTTTAATTTTATCAATTTAAATTCTAATCTTTTGATTTATTTTCAATCTAAATTATTTGTCTATTTTTGTTAAGTAAAACACACAGAAAAATAGTATTTTAAACATTAAACTCAATGTATATGCACGTAAAATGTCTAAATATATTTTTTTAATTGAATTTAATGATTAAGATATTATTTTTTTGTTGGTTTTACTTAGCGAAAAATAGGCAAACGGCTTCAATTGAAAAAAATTCAAAAATTTAAGATTTAAATTGATAAAATTTAAAATTTAGGGTTTATTTTGTTAGAATGGTCAAATCCTGGGAATATATATATATATATATATATATTTTAAATTTCCCCAAAATTTGGGTTGTAAATTCATTTTAAACCTTGTGGTTTGGGGCTGGAGCAATTTAACCCCCACGTGATTTTGGATTAAAGTGATACCGTTAATTTTTCTATCAAAACTAACAGAAGATATATTATTCACACCAATTTTGAGAGTGGATTTTATTTTTAAAAAAATTAGAATGAAATTAATACAATAAAAGAAAAATTTTACCCGTATTTTCTCCAAAACTAAAATTAAATTAATACGTTAATTAAAATAAAATATAATACAATATAATTAAGAATTGATCTAAAATATAAAATATAATTAAGAATTGATTTAAAATGTAATTAAATTAAAATTAGATTAACATGCTACAAATTATAATAAATAATTAAAAATTTAGGATTAATTGTGATCTAAAATATAATTAAGTTAAAAATAAAATAAAAAGTTAGTAATTACATCAAGGGAGATTTACCAATAAATCCCAAAATTTGAACTTATGAACCAATTAGTCCCATTTTTATTCTATTAAACCGTTTAGTCCCATTTAATTGTGAGGGACGTAATTGCCCTTATGTATCCTATATTTGATGCGGCTGGGGGCTTCAAGATTGGGTAATGCGCGTGTGTGGCGCACGTGCGCGATTAGTAAAATGGATGTGTGGTGTGTTGCATGTGATACACTGCCATGGCGTCACCCAATGGCAAACCGCTGTAAGGGGTTTTTATTTGGGCTGGGCATTCTCTCACTCTCAGCATTCTCTCTCTCTCTCACATAGAGACCCAGCCACACACATAGCTCCTCTCTCTAGCAGACACAAGACGCCATTAACACACACAGCAGCAGATCGAACACATGTGATTCCATATCAAACACATCGAACATCATCGAACACATCATCATCCGAGGGCAATGGCGATGGCTTCAACACATCGAACACACTGATACATCGAACACATCGAACACACTGATACACGCAGACACACAGATAAAACACATCGAACACCATCGAACACACATGTGATTCCAGATCGGACAAATCGAACACACTGATACACGCACACACACAGATGGAAGACACTGATACACGCAGACACACAGATGGAACACCATCGAATCCGACCTGGGGAACCTCTCGAATAGTCTGAACCGGACCGACCCAGATCTCGGAGGACGGTTCTGGTTAAAGCTCTGGTTCTAGGTTCGGTCCAGCGCCTTAGGAGGAGGAGGAAGATAGTCTTCTTCCGGATCTTCAACGACCCGGATCAAAACTTCATCAGTTGGGTTTTGGGGGTTCTGGGTTTCCTCCGGAACATTGATTTGGAGATTGAAATCTGGAATTTGCAGAGTCTCACCGGGTTGAGGAACGAGATCGGCTCGGCAAACCGGACAAGTCACATGAGAATTGAGCCAAGCATCGATGCATTCGGGGTGAAACACATGGTCGCATTTGGGGATGAATCTGAGATTCTCAACGTCTTCGAATTCATTGAGACAAACACATGGTCAAGCCCTCTCAAACACACTGATGCACGCAGACACACAGATGGCTTCAACATACACTCACACACACACACACACTAATACACACACACACGCGCGAATCTCTGAGGGTGTGCCACACCGGAATGAAAGTGGGACCAAATCAGTGAACTAAAAATGACAGTTTGTAAATCAATGAAAGGGCACTCTTGTCCACAGAGTGAAACAAAAATGAAAAAAAAAACAAAAAGGACCAAATCAACACACAAGCAGGACTATTTTATATAATAGAATAAAAGTGAGACTATTTGGTATAACAGTTTGTAAAGTAGGATTTATTGGTAAATATTCCTTACATCAAATTACTAGCAAACTGCTAAAAGCTTACACAATGAGTATTTAAGTATACACCTGCCACCGAATTGGTTTTCGTTAGTTAGGTCGTCTCTTTCTCAACCACATATACTTACTAAATAGAGCGCTTCTATTGCATTGAATGGGATGACACCACTTACTCATAGGGGTGAGCAGCGGATATATCGATCCGTCAAAATCGATTGAACCGAACCGATCTGCCGCATTTTGGACGGATGCGTGATGACGAGCGGACGGTTGCGGATTGATTTTCTCCAATCCGCCAATTTGGCGGACGGATGGCGGATTTGAACTTCCTTTGGCCGCAATCGAACCGCCAAACCGCGAGCACCCTTAGTAATTTATAAGACTTTGTGTTTTTAATTTATTTAAATATTTTGTTTGTGTTTTCAATTGAAAAAGAGTTCAAATATTCTGTTGAAAAAAAGTTTTCAACTTAGATATATTTTTTGAATTGAAAAAAATAAACATATTATTTATCTATATTTTTTGATTTTTAAATCTAACTCTAAAAGTAATAAATAGAAAATATAACATATGCTGATTGGTTTTTGTTTCAAAAACATATATAAATGTAACAATACAGAGACATGCAATATCTACTATTGCTCTGCTTATGGTTTTGATGGTTTGAATTGTTTTTATATTTTAAGAACCACAAATTGTAATATTTTATATGGATGAGGCATGCAGTGATTGTGATATTCTAAAGTTTCAAACTTTATTTATTTGGATGATGCATGCAGTAATTGTAATAGTCATTGACTGTAATACTTTTTTTTTTTTTTTTTAGGAAGTGCACAAGTTGAATTATGTTGAAAATTTATAAAATTTCAAACCGCCAAACCGATTCGCATCCATCCGCCAAACCGCTAATCCGCTCAATCCACATCTGCCGGATTGGCGGACGGATGCGGACTGATTTTCTCCAATCCGCCAATCTGGCGGACGAATGGCGGATTGCAGGTTTCGTAGCCGCAACCGACCCGCGCCCACCCCTACTTACTCATATTCTCAATTTCTTCGAGTTGTTCCTTTTGGATATAGGGCGGGTTTGCTTTGTGAGAGAAGTTGGGTGGAATTATTAGCGTAAGAATTTTTAATGTGTTATTAATAAAAAGATTAATAAAAGTTGTATTTATTTATGTATTAGTATTGTGATATTAGTTAGTTAGAACTAAATATATGAAATTACGTAAAAATACTTATTATATAAAATATAATTTTGTTATCTTTGTAAAATAGAGGTTAAAATTATCTTTTTCCCTCCAATTCTCCAATCTTATAGGATTATAATTCCTATTCCAGCTCCCTTGTAGGATTGTTAATCCCCTCCTTGGAGGGTGTTAATAGCCCCAAGAGCCTACTAGTAAAAAGGTCTTTGTTCAAACCAAACACAACTTTTGTGGAACCCATGAGATTACTAGTTCAATCCCATGGCTTTTGGACTAAAACAACCAGGCCCTTGGCGTTTTACCTTTGTCAATGAAGTCAAGATATAGTAAGACCATTTAAACTTTTAAAAATATATGGAGGAGGTGAGCCTATATAGTTTTGGAGATAATCTATCTATATATTTTATAAGAAAATGAGGTTTTTTAGTGGTGAGTGTGGTGAGAGTTTTAATATCTCATAGTACTAATTTTCTTGATTTTCTTAAATTTAAATAATTAAAAAAATCTCTATTAGCTAGCTAATTAGTCCATGGTTTATTTGATAATCCCACATAGGGAAACTAATTTAATTTAATATAATTTAAATTTTAAAATAAAATATAAAAGATTTAATTAATTAACTTATGTGTAAATTGGTTGGTCTTTTAACCTAGCCAATTTGGCTAAATCATTTTTTATTTGACTGATTTGTTGGTTTAACCGCGATTTTAACCAGTTTATCAAAATATGTTGATTAGATTTATTTGATATGAAAAAAACTAAAGATTCATCTGATTAAAGATTGAATGACTAAGATTACTTGATTGAAAATAAACTTTCAGTCCAAGTAATTGTTAACTTTAATTTTATAATCCCATACCAGAAAAAGAAAAAAAATGAGTTATTTTACTTCTATAAAATGAACATTAACGTTGTAGTGTTGTGTATGTTTCAATTCAAACCAGTTTAAAATTTTAAATTAAAACAACATTTAAAAGTTTTAATTAATTAATTTTGTATAAGTTGGTTGGTCATTTGACCTAACTGATAAAGCTAATTGTTTTCAGTGAGAAGCACGGTGAGAGCTCCAATATCTCATACTAATTTTCTTGATTTTCTTAATTTTAAATAATTAAGAAAATCTCCATTAGCTAGCTAATTAGTCGATAATTTATTTGATAATCCTATATCGGGACAAGAAGGAAAAAATGAATTGTTTTACTCATATAAAGTGAATCTTATTCTCCCATTTAATATTGTAGTGTTGTAAATGTTTCAATTTAATATAATTTAACTTTTAAAATAAAGAAGAAAAAAGTGAATTATTTTACTCATATAAAGTGAATCTTATACTTTCATTTAATATTGTAATGTTATACATGTTTCAATTTAATATAATTTAAATTTTAAAATAAAATTT